CTACTCCCGAGACTTCAACCGTCTTAGAAGTCACAGCAGACGACAAAGCAACCTTGCTTGATGAGACGGTGCTATCCGATTCATCACCTTCGTCACTTGAGCCGAACATGAGTCAAAATTACTCGGCCTCACGCAAGGCCTCTTCGGTGGCGCGTATGTCCGCTGAAGAAGGAGAGATCGTCGACGCTGAAGGCTAGACCACGTCGGGTGGACCTTGCGGTGAAGACAAATGCGCGTCAGAGGGGTCGGAGACATTGTCGTGAGCCTTGGAGCCCACATCTTTACCCGAAGACTCGGTGATAGTATCCTGAGCCGAGGGGGCCCCACTTGAACCAACGTCAATCATGTCCACGTCACTCTGGTCACCACTGAGGTCTTCAACGGCGGGAGTCGAGGATGACGCTGGCTTGCGAGGTGGCGACCATGAACGAGGAGATGACGGCGCAGGCTGAGATCGAGTCCTCGAATGACGCCGGGGGGACTTGGCAGGAGAACGAAGGCGAGTCTTCTTGTGCTTTTTCTGAGCCGCTTGCTTCCATGCCTTCGGGCTAAACAGCGAACGACGTGCAGACTTAGGGGTTGAAGAGTCGGCAGGTGGCGCATCACCGAGACTAGCAGCTGCCATAGACGTACTGGTCTTGTCCGTCGGGATGGGAGCCTTGTCTTCGTCGGTATCTTCCGATTCGTCGTCCGACTCCTTGCCACCTGGTCGACGACGCTTGTGGTGCTTTCGTTGAGCCACTTAATGAGCAGCCTGTGCTAGAGCTGCAGGAAGAGCTTGGGGATCATGCGAAGACGCGGTAGCAGACTGTATGCGCAGCAAGGCAACCAACGTCTCCTGGTCCAAATCCAGAGCTTTCAGATCCAGTTCACCCGCTGTGAGACCTGTCACAATCGATTGTGAACGAACGTTAGTTGCTGAACTCACGGCGGAAAGAATAACATGTGGGACTTACCACTAACAGCCAGACGCAGGACCTCCGGATCCATCCCGGCCAGACGCACGTGTGCACGGAGAGTACGGTTTACTTGAAGGAGGTGGGTGTTGCGAGCTTGCTGATTCTCGAGGACCTTGAACGTTTCGTTGTCGACGTACTTGTCCTTGGAAAGCTTGGCCGAGAGGAGATGAAGTTGGCGAGTCTGTTCGGTGCTCGCGCCAATCGAAGACTTGTACACTTCGCGTTCGCGGGCCAGCTTCTTATTCAATGTGGCGAAGAACGCGTCCCGCGCCTGGACCTCGCAGTGCAGACGCTTCAGGTCCTCTGAATGCTGCTCCATGGTGGACTGAACACTCGCGAGCATGGCATTGTTCTTGACATTGGAGTCGCGGGTAATCTTGACGTCCTTGCGAAGAGCTTCGACTTCGGTGTTGGCAGTCTTCAGGTACGCCTCCGCGCTCTCCCGAGCCATGATATCGGTAGCCACCAAACGTACGGCGGCAGCAGCCTCGGTCTGGGCAGCCCGCAACTAACGCTCCAGACTGACACCTCGGTCTAGCAATGTCGACAGAGCATCAAGAAGAGGCTGTACGGCGGCGAGGGCTTCGTCAAATCCCATGACCGTCTCGAGGCGACGTTGAGTGTGGACATCGCCGTGAAGAGGAGGCGCAACGTTGAGCTGCACTTGATGACGAGCCATCGCAGTCAAGTACGGAATAATCAATGTCATCATATGATCAACCGACGCTTCCGTACTCTCAGCCAGCATGGCGCGCAACGAATCGTCGGTGAGTGGAGGAGGACCACCAGCAGGCGCAGGTGGACCAGCAGGAGCCATCCCCGTGGATTCAGCGACGACAGGAAGTGCCGCAGGAGCTGCAGTAGGAGGTAAAGAATCCGGGGCAGGAAGCACCGGAGGTTCAGCTGACGACGTTGCCGTTGAAGGAAGTGTGGCAGGCTGAGGGTCGTTCGTCCTCGGTGTCGCCCCCCTGAGAAACAGGACAAGTAATGCATGGTGATGAGCAAGGTGTCGATGATTCAGGAGAAGGATGAGCTGACGTACCTCCAGCTGTTCAGGTTCGCGACGTCGGCGAGGATTGAGACGCTGAAAGACGGCTCGGGTTCAAGCGCTTGGACATACGGTGACTGGATGGTGAATTGGAGAATGAAGAAATGTCACAATGAGCACCAGTACCGTGGCTTCCATTGCGACAGGGGCAGTTGTGGTGTAGTGATTTCTCTGTAGTTGCGGATTATCACCCGTTGACAAAGACGTGACACCGCCCAAGATGATCAAGCGACGAGCCCTCGGTCACGTGATGTACGGTAACTCCAAGGTGCAAGGGACTCGACGGCGTCACTTCCGAGCTTTCAACGAGTATTGGATACGGCCCATATGCCACTGAATCCAGGCTGTCCTTATTATTAATATTGGACTGGCCGGATTTGCATTCAGCGGACCATCTACGGTACGAACCCTCGGTGGCGGTTGGGATGAGTTCGCGGAAGACTCAGCGACCCTTGGAAGACACGTACACCGTCTGGGACAAGGCGCGGACCGTTAAAGATACTCATGCGACGGTGCAGACGACGCTTGGCGTGCAAGAAGATCCATAACGAATCATAGCTCACTTGATATTTGTAAACTTGATTAGGACTTCTTATTAGGAATAGGCCCGAAAGGGTAAGCTTAAATACAGAACAGAATTTCCACTCAAGCACACAGAGCGACGTCCGGCTTCAAGGTAAGCGTCTGGTCAAGCTTGTTTGAGTGTGGTATGTCTGTCGGTGAGCTCGAAGCTCTGTAGCGAAAGTTCATCCGGCAAGGCCAAGATACTTTGTGTATTGGCCGATTACTATCGGGAGGTTTTACGTGACGGCTTATTGTTACCTATTTGCACGACTGGGAGTGCTTGGATTGCCTCCCTTTTATTCTTTCAACCGAGTGTTGAACACTCGGTGACCTCGTAAAAGGCTTACCCGTGCCTGGTACCCTTCCGCTGTTGGGACCACGAGGATTCATAACGCCTGCTAGCTTTGCTCGTGCTAGTAGCGTGTTCTTTTTTCTTACTGGTTGGCCTATATAAGTAGTTTACAAGGTCCAGTTTGTCCTGGTGCAAGGGCAGAAGTGGGGTCTTCAGGTCCGCCCGAACGATCGTTTACTATCTCAGCAGACGTATTGTTGTGAGATCTTTCTAGCTACATTTGTAGCTACAGCTCACGTGAGAATTCCAACACCACATACGTGCTGTTGCTTAAACGACAATTCCATCATGCTGATCCTAGTATACGTAGATGACATAATGGTTGCTACGAACGATGAGGAGGCAAAGAAAAAATTGTTCGAAGATGCGATCCCTTGCTGAAACTATGAATTATGGTATTACGAATACGAAAAATTGCGTAAACAGGTACTGTAAACTTGGAAGACAGATGCGCCAGTGGTTGGGCAAAACGACCCAGAGTCGCGAAAGAACACATCAAAATTTGTGCTATCGCTTGCTGGGGCTGGATGTCACGGCGTCAGTTGCATAAGGTCAAAGTCATTCACAAAGCCGTTGAACAAGAGCCGCTTGAAAATTATGCTGGAGCCTATTTTACGAAGTGCACCCCTTGTAAGCCATCCCAAAATTACCGACCAATTACCGGTATAGGCTTAGAAAACGTGCACCGACTGATCGCTTGCTCTCGTACTTAGTTGGACATTCACAAAAAATCTACGAATCAGTGCTCCCGGGGGCAGATTTTTTGTGGATATATGCTACATGTTAGCATCGTAAGCTAGAGCAGTTTTGCTAAACTAAATTTTTATCACTGTCGGATTTTACTTCTCTGTTACTGACCAAGTCTCGTTGGTTTCTCTCGCGATAAGTACGCACTTTCATGAACAGTCACAGTATCCGGATAACTGCTGCGTCTACATCACGCAGAGACGATACGATGGATCGAGCAAGTCTTGTGCAGCGACGAAAACAACTAAGAAATAAAGAGAACTTGGCCAGCAAAAACAATTCGTCGGTAGAGAATAGTACGGTAGCTGCGAAGAAAAAATTTGTGACGGGAAAGGGGCCATCGTCAATCGAAGACACATCGAGTCAAACTTCCTTACTGAGGGATGACTATGACCCGAAATCGACGGAATCAGGCCGCAGTGCTTCGTCAAGGGCGCCCCCTTTCTTCCGACCAAATTTGAAGACAGCTTTCGACTCCGAGATGAATGCTGGACTCGTCGTGCGTCAAGTTTTGCAGCGATCGCAATTCAGCGATGTAAAGGAGTATCTCCACTCAGTAACAAAGCATGAACTGTTCCAACAGGCTCTAGTGATGGCTACATACGTCCAGGGGGTAAGGCAAGTATAGTACTTTATTAAGGCTTGGGAAAGCACGTTCACTTTCTTGCTGTACAGCTGAAGGAGAAGCATTCAGAGGTATCAAAAGCCATTCATGAAGAGCTTAATCAATGCCAGGCAGAGTGTCATTCTGTCGCTAGTAATTTGGCTGAGCGAGAGAGGGTCTGCGAAGAGCAAGAGGTTAGAACAAGATATTATACCACACTGAGTATGCTACTTGGACAAGGTTACTATTTGATTTGTGGACAGAAAGAGAAGAGCGAGCTTCTTGGTCGTCTGAAAATTGCGCAGGAGGAGTATCAAGCTCTGCTCGCCTGGGTTCGGTAAGGAAAATCCACTGAGGCAGGCGTAATGAAGTGTAACCCAGCCGTTCTAGTGAGCATGAAGACGAGTTGAAGACACTGCAGCAAACTACTCAGAGTCAAGCTCAACTCATTGGAGAAATGTCCGAGATTCGACGACAACGAGAGGATAAAATGAACGCGGTTGAGAAGGAGCGAGAACAGGTTTTCCGCTTGGCAGAAGAATTGCAGGAACAGGTATAAAACCAGCAGAATAAGTGTTGCTGTTTCGAAAAACCGAGCTAGCGTAATTTAACCCATTTACCTTGTTTTCGTAGACCGTAAAGCTGCAATCACAAATGGTAGAAGGTGTACTTTGTGTTCATTTTCTGTGAAAAACTTCTAATTGACTCTGCGATATCTTCTAGGAAATGATGGAGCGAGACAGCGAGAGACATCAGGCCGAGTTGAAAGAAGAGCGAGCAGCGAACAAGACACTGACATTGGCTAATCAGCGCAAAGCTCAAGCGTATGTCATGCTTCTTTTTCTTCGTTTACATGTTCTTTTCGAGTTAAGTTAATTACTGAAGTTAATATGTGTTCTACAGCGTGCAGCGGGTATCGAGTGAGCTAGAGAGCGCCCGGAATCAAATATCGACGCTGCAAGGGCAGGTTCAGGTACATTCTCCTGGACATCGTTCTTGTCAAGCAATTGCGAGCTGTAACGCCTTTCATTTGGTTCAGTTGGAGGCGATCTCGAGGCAATCGGTCACACAAGAGCGCGATCGCCTTCAGCAACAGTATCGAACGGACCAAGAAAACTGGAAATCCGCACAGGTACTTCTCTCCCAGTATCCACCAGAATTGCGTTGCCTTCCCTCAAGTGTAAAGGTCGGTATAATAGGAGCACCGCGACTTGCTGAAGATGAGAAAAGCAGACGACTTTCGGAAGTTGGATCTCGAGCTTCGACACTCGACTCAGGCTCTGTCACGAATGCGCATTGAATGGGAGAGCGAGAAGACCCAACGCGAGAAATCTGACGCCAGATTACTCAATCTTTCAGTCTTCCTAGATGTACGAGATGGCGTTGCCTCGGCACGCTCTGCTCGGTGATAACAGCTACTACATGTTTATTAATTTGGCTCACGTTCTGCAGGAGACTAAGGTGCACGCGCAGGCGTTGGAGGAAGAGACGCATCAGCTGAAGATGCAGCTCAATGGTGTGTGAAACTGTGGACACAGATATCCACCGAATATTTTTTGTTAAAAAGGTTGCCACATGTATTGTTGCATCAGCGGAGAAAGAGGCGCGGACAAGCAAGGATCACGCTCTTCAAATTGCTCATAGGTGCCGTTTTGTACTGTCTGCCGGACGATCTAGTCGCTAAAAGCAACATGTGAATGCTTCAGAGATTTCCAGGCATTGCAAAATAGCTGCCGAGAGCAAGAGAACGCGAAACTGGACGCTCAGAGTGAAGTGGCCTCGCTCGTTCAGCGGTACGTCGGAGCTTGATAATGGATCTGTGTGTTCATCATCCGTCAACAGCATGGATACATTGCACTCTTGCCTTAGGATGAAGGTGATCCGTCGTGATCATTTGGCGCTGCTCCACCGCGTTGAAGCACCGACACTTTAAGTAGCCACCCATTGGCACGCCAACAGGCAGTGAGCAAAGTACGGTACGGTTTTGAAGCCTACTTATTAAACTGTTTGTGTACCACGCGCCTCCACCCCAATGCCTATCTTTGCATTTTTGAGGGTACTGAAGGTGCGTGTCCTTGTGGCTCTCTTCTTAAAGCGATCCCCGGGATCTCGACGGCATCTGACAGTCGCTGCGGCGTTGCATGAGAATACGGAGACGTTTCCAGCACGATGCAATCTGCGACGTGATATGCCGCCATTGCAACGGCGAAACGCAAGCTGTTTAAGGTCCTTTGGGCCAATGGCAGCCCCGATCGAGCCGCGTGCCGTCAGCGGCATAAGCATGCGCATAAGCTGACTCGTCGCATTCGTTTGATTGGCTGAGAGCGTGCACAAAAACTTCAGTGTTGGCAAGTGACGAGGCAGAAATGTCGGTGGGCTCTTTTTACTGTACGGGTTACTGTACTTGTATACTTGTACCTGCCCAACAGAAGTAGAATCTGACGACTCAAGTTGCTCCATGTCGTGGCCTCCGACTTAAACTCATTATTTTATTTACCTCACACTAGCCAGCAGACCTTGTCAATGGCTCCTCAAGCTGCAGACCAAGCGTCACCGTCGCCGTTTCAGTTTCCGTCGTCCCGAAATCTGTCCATGAGTGCACTTCAACTGACACCCCGGCCCAGCGACTTGCCATCTCCTGCTCAATCGCCACACACTGCGTACTTCCATGTCGACGAGCCAGAGGTGGTGACTTCCAAGACCTACGATCTCCCGGTGGACCACAACCAGTTCGACCGTGCCACAGCAATCAAACCGAGCAGCATGCTGCGCCCGCACATGCGCATCTTCTACCTATCGTGGATGTCGGGTATCATGGGCTTCCTCGGTTGGTACGCCATCCCTCCTCTCATGCCAGTGATCAAGACGCAGCTAGGACTCACAGAGGGAGAAGTCCTCAACTCCGATATCGCTAGTACTGCCAGCACGATCATCTCTCGAATTGCATCAGGCCCACTTTTGGACCAGTTTGGTCCTCAGGTTGTGCAGAGCTCGGTGCTGTGGTTTGGTGCTATTCCAATTGTCTGTGCCGCCTTCGTCAACTCGGCTACAAGTTTGCTTATTGTGCGGTTCTTCATTGGTCTCGTGGGCTGCGTGTTTGTGTCCAGTCAGTATTGGACGACCATCACTTTTGCTCGTAATGTGGCCGGTACAGCCAACGCCATCACTGGTGGCCTGGGCCTGTCTGGTATTGGCTTCGCCTTCCTGGTCTTGCCGTTCGTATACGAGGCCATCACGTCAGGCGGTCACGTATCGGACGATCTGGGTTGGAGGATCACCATCGCGCTGCCGGCAGTGCTTATGGTTATCATGGGCACGGTGATCTGCTTCGCTGTGGATAGCTGTCCGACCGGTGGCTTCCAGGAGCTGATGAACACCAAGCGGCAGGCAGAACAGAATGGCCGAGCTGCTCCGGCACGAATAAGCATTAGCGGTGGCTCCAGTACCTTGCCCGTGACGCAGTCTGAGCAGCAGAAACCTATGAGCATGCTTCAGTCTTTCAGGATTGTGCTCACGGACTTGAACGTCCTGGTTATGATCGCTCAATACGCTGCGAGCTTCGGCACAGAGCTACAGCTCAACAACATGGGAGCGCTCTACTTTTACACCAAATTCACCAAGAGTGGCTGCACCCCGACAGACGGCAATCTCTGCTACTTACTGTCGAAGACCAACGCCGCCACCGTGGCGTCGTCTTTTGGACTTATGAACATGTTTGCACGCGCTCTAGGCGGCTTGGCGTCTGACGCAGTGAACCGCCGATTCGGCATGAGTGGCCGCAAGCGCGTACAGTTCACGTTGCTGTGTGTACTGGGCGCCTTGGTGATCACACTGAGTCAACTGGACTCGCTCGGCGCTTGCGTTGCGTTCTATGTGCTCGTAGCTATCGCCGCACAGGCAACCGGAGGGTCCACGTACGGCATTGTACCGTACCTGAATGAGCATCACACGGGCACAGTCAACGGACTGGTCGGTGCTGGTGGCAACTTAGGAGGCGTGATCTACGGCATCATCTTCCGTAGTACGGACGGATACAGCACGGGTCTGCTGTACACAGGTATCATCATCCTGGCCTGTGCACTGCTTACCCCTCTGTTGAGGTTCCCCCACTTACAGCACGAGCAAGAGGCCAACGTCCACCAATCGGGTGACGCTGGCGACGCGTCTAAGCGATCTCATAGCACCATGTACCTCGAAGATGAGCCGATTGAGTAAGTTAGTGTAATACGTTTTAATATTAGTCAAACTTCATTCGATTGACAAACCTGATGTTGAAGTGGAAAGGGTAAATTACCAAAATGAAGTGGTCACTCATCCTCCAGTCAACGTGCCGCCATGCGCATAATACACGCCGTCAACATGAAACTGCCGACTCTTAATTGAACGAAGTGTAATTCTGGTGCATGAGCTGAACGGTACGTGAGGGTATTCTGAGTCATCCAAAATTGCATACTTTTCTTCTGCTCATTTCGCTATTTCCATCGCACTCGCCGTTTCCAATAGCAAAGATTTAAATGGATTATTCCGCTACGTCTCCATCCCTCGTACCACCGTCACGGTTATCGCTGAGCTCCCTCCAATTAACACCAAGGGTTCGAGAACTCTCGTCCCGACTGCCATCACCCGGCGATTCTCCGTGTTGCGTGTTTGTGCAAGTGGATAGACAGGAAGATGTTGCACATGCCCTAGAGTATGATCTGCCGGTGGACAGTAAGCAGTTCGACCGTGCCACAACTATCAGGCCATGCAGTATGCTGCGACCTCACATGCGCATCTTTTATCTTTCATGGATGTCGGCTATCACGGGGTTCTTCGGCTGGTATGCTATCCCGCCACTCATGCCGGTGATCAAGACGCAGCTTGGTCTTACCGACGGAGAAGTCCTCAATTCCGATATCGCCAGTACAGCGAGTACCATCTTTTCACGGATTGCATCAGGCCCTCTGTTGGATCGGTTCGGTCCCCAGGCAGTACAGAGTGCCGTACTGTGGCTCGGAGCTATTCCGATCTTCTGCGCGGCTTTTGTAAACTCTGCGACGACGCTGCTCGCTGTGCGATTCATCGTCGGTCTTGTGGGATGCGTGTTCGTCACGAGTCAGTACTGGACGACCATCACGTTTGCTCGCAACGTGGCCGGTGCAGCGAATGCAATCACCGGAGGACTGGGACTTTCTGGTATCGGCTTTGCGTTTCTACTGCTCCCGTTCGTCTTCAAGGCCATCACATCCAGTGGACACATATCGGAGGACTTGGGTTGGAGGATCACCATCGCTTTACCGGCAGTACTGATGATAATCATGGGCACAGTTATTCGGTTCGCGGTGGGAAGCTGTCCGACGGGAGATTTTCAAGAGCTGATGAAGACGAAGCGTCAAGCCGAGCAAGCAGCCAGCGGTGGATCTACTCAAGAGCAGAAGATTAAGCCTCCAAGTTTGCGCGAATCTTTCAAGATCGTCCTGTCCGATCCAAATGTGCTCATCATGATCGCTCACTACGCCGCGTGTTTTGGGACAGAGCTGCAGTTGAACAACATGGGCGCACTCTACTTCTACAAGGAGTTCACCCAGAATGGATGCACGGACAGCATGTTCTGTTCTGTGCTCTCCAAGACCAGTGCGGCAACTGTGGCATCATCGTTCGGCCTCATGAACGTGTTCGCGCGTGCGGTCGGTGGCCTCACGTCCGACGCCGTGAACCGACGACTGGGTATGCGTGGCCGTCAGTATACTCAGTTCGCGCTGCTTTGTATACTCGGCGCTCTTGTGATGGCGTTAAGTCGCGCGTACTCCCTCGGTCTTTGCATTTCACTCTACGTGCTTGTCGCCATCGCTGCACAAGCCACTGGAGGCTCGACGTACGGAATCGTCCCGTACTTGAACGAGCACCACACGGGCACCGTCAACGGGCTAGTTGGCGCTGGAGGCAACATGGGAGGAGCTCTTTTCGGCGTCATCTTCCGTATCACGGGCTCGTACCACACTGGGCTCTTCTACATGTCCATCTTCATCTTCAGTTGTGCACTGCTCTCGCCACTCTTGAGGCTATCGCATCTTCACCATCACGGGAATGCAGCTGCTAACGTCACCGATCACTCTCAACATGGACCGAGGACAAACACGGCGTCCAAGGCGTTCCTTGACGACGAACCGTCCGACCACGAAGCAGCAACACGACACAACAGAGCTCCTTAAAAAAAAGCAGATAAAAATAATTCATCCGATTTCCTAATTTGACCTGGTTGTCCTATCACTTGCAATTGCTGCATAATTACCGCCAAGTTGTCACTGTGATGGTCTCTGATGCGACTGAATCCCCGCAGGTTGAGCCCAGTCAGAAGCTACTGACTACAGTTTCTACCAGTAGCAATGCCTTACCAACGACGTCAAGTCTTGTGCAGGTGGCGCCGCTGCCTCTAACGACCGATTTCCTTGCTGCCAAGATCTTCGAAATGGGTGCAATGCCTCCAGCACCAACACAGGAGCGTGAAGAATCGTACATCCCCGTAGCGTTGGCCCGATCTCAACTGGGCAAAGTGGTGGCCGACATGCACGCGATGAAAGCCGAGCAAGTCCAGAAACTTAACGAAATTCTTGAACACTACCGCAATATCGAGAAAGATACGCGAGAGCGACATGAAGCACGTGTACAAGCGCTCAAAGACCGAGCTGAAGCGAAGCTGAAGGAATCGCGAAAGCGTCACGTCCAGCTAGAGAAGGCTGGTGTCGTTCGTGAGGAGATCCACGCGAAGGAGAAACAGGCACTTGTTGAAGAGCAAGAGAAGCAGCAACTTCGCCATCTTGAAGCTCATGAAGACTGGAGACGAGAGTTTGAGTGCGCACTGCAAGCTCATGAAGACAAGTTCGCTAGAGAACAGAAAGTGGCTCTGGAGGAGATCGCACGCGTCTCTCGTGCTGCAAATTTCACGGGCGAAACAGCTCGACAGCAGCTTCGCAACGAGCTGCAAATGTGTAGTGAAGACGCTCTCGGCCAAGCCATGCGTGTGGATGACCAGCTTCATTGCGCTCGGTTAACTATGGAGAGTCAACATCAAGCGTTCCTGGATCGCGAGGTTGAGCTTCGACGACATTTTGCGGGAAGACTTGAGGTCGAGCGGTTCATCTACACACTTATTGACAACGTTGTCGACAGTAAGCAGCAAGCTGTTGAAATAAAGAGAGCTGAGGGTCTCCAGAACAAACTGCGTGATCTCGAAGTGAAGGCCAAGGCGGCGGGGTCACGTGAAGAGATGCTGGAGCGACGATTGAAAGCTGCTCGCGAGCGATTTGCAATCATGGAGATTAAAGCTGTGCGAGAGACAGTCGAGCTGCTTGTTCATGCTGTTGCTGTGACGATCGAAGGCTATGGTAAAGCTAATCCTGCCACTTCAGATGCCCCCACGCAGACGCACGACTTTGAAGAGGAATCGAAAGAAGTATCGGAATTTGTAGCAGACGCTGAGGTCCCGACGCTTTCGCTGGATAAAGTCAAGGACGAAAGTGAAGTTGAGGTCGCTCGTGAGCGGAAGGTAGCCCTTTTACGCTCCAAACAAGAGCTGCGCGAGGCCAAAGAGAAGCTCGAAGCTCTGACAAAGACCAAAAAGGCGGTGAAAACAGAAGTCAAGACGTGGATGGTTGCATTCCGGAGTCAGTTTGGAAGGGAACCGGCTATCGAGGATAAAACACAAGTGAAGGACAAGTATTTGGCTTTCAAAGAGGCCGAAAAAGCGTTTAGCTCGCAGAAGGCACTTGTGCAAACATTGAAGCAACAACATCGCGAGCTGGCACTTCCCTCCACTCGGTGGTTAGAGCTTGAATCTGCAGTAGTTAAATCAACACGTGCGGAACGAGGCGAGGAAGAGAACGACGGTACCGGTGAAGATTCATCAAACCCCAGTGAGCGGAAGTCGAGGACAACTTCTCAAGACGCTTCACGTTCACTCTCAGCTTCTGTATCGACCCAGAACGTCAGTGTTGAAGCTCTAGTTTTGACCAAAGACAGCGGTACCGATGCTGCTAGTCCTGAATTCGAAGACGAAGCTGTTGTCAATTTGGAGAAGGAGTTGCATGAATTGCGGTCTCAGTTAGCGGTCGCCAAGGCTGTCCAACCAGAAGCGCGTTTTGATGACGAGACGAGACAACGCAAGACATCGATACCAGCAGCACCCACCGAGCTATTAAGTCAGCAACAACCACAAGGAATCGCAACCGACAAAGCTGCAGGGAATTCAAGCTGTGATGAATCTCCAGTTCGACAAGAAGAAGAAGATCGAAAGCAACAAGAGGAAACACTACAAGAACATGGACTAGCACTTGAAGAAGAAATCTCTGGTTTATCTCGAGAAATTGATCAACGTCGAGCTGAAAAGACTCAACTGGAATCGGAGATTGAGCAGTTGCGTCTGCACTTGGAACTCTCCGAAGCTCGTGACAGTGACTTGCTCCCTCCCAGCGAAGCAAAAGGTGACGACATCGAGAAGGACGATATACTTGAAGCGAATGGTTTTGAGATTTCAGAACAAGACGACGCCTACGAAGAAGAAGAGTTCGAGGCTACCCCGGCAGGGGTAAAAGATGGCGAGGATGAATTGATCGAACAAGCAATGGACGATGAGAAAGATGATGAACCAGAAGAGGAAGAATCCCAAGTAGTGAAGGAAGACGCTGCCCGTTCCATTCAACTGGTCCAGATGATACTCGACGCAGTGGCTCGTGGTAAGGCACAATTCAATCGAGGCGACAAGGCCAAATGCTATCAAACGTACGCAAAGTGCGCCGAGAAATGCATAACAGAACTTCAGGCTCTTCACGACAAGCCGCGACGTCAATTGGCTCCTGCACTCAAGCGTGTTATGGCTGAATCAGCGCGTCTCCCACCAGCGCGAGGTCCGCAAGCTCTTCGCAAGCAACTTGATCTCGTGCGTGATAGCTGTGAAGAATGGCTAAACACTCGAGAAGAGCAGGCGGCGTCTCGTCTGGTCGAACGAAATGCTCGAAAAGAGGCCAAAGCAGCAATGGAAAGGCAGCAAATCTTCGAGAAAAGGCAACAGAAACAAGCTCAACAGAAAAATGAAGACAAGAAACATCACAAGAAGAAGAGCTCTCCGCCTCAAAACAGCGCTCCTTCGGGAGGTGGCGGCAAAGCTCTGGAAGATGCTAAACAGAAGCTACGCACCCTGGAAGCCAAGGCGAAAGCTGATCGTGTAAAAATCTCGCAGCTTGAGGCAGCTTTAGGCAAAGCAGAGTCACAAGTGGGCAGTGGTAATAGCAGCAACTCAGCTGGAAATGCGACGACAGCTTCAGATCGTCGCGTGGCAGACATGGAGAAGAAACACAAGAAAGTTCTTGAAGACAGCGAAAAAAACACAAAGAAAGAAATCGCAGCACTAACGCAACAGCTTCAAGCTGCTCACAAAGTTTCACAGGAATTGCAGGACCAAGCTGCGGCTCTCCAGAAAGAACTAGGCGTTGCAGGTGGCAAAGCGAAGCAACTGGGACAACTGGAAGGGGAAGTCCTTCAACTCCGCGAACAAGCAGCACTAGTAGCCCCACTACACAACGATCTACGCGACGCCAAAGCTCAATACGCAACACTGGAGACGAGTTACCGAGAGGAGCAGGCTTTGCGCAAGAAATACTACAATCAGATCGAAGATATGAAAGGTAAAATACGCGTCTACGCTCGCTGTCGTCCCATGAGCGGCTCGGAGAACGAACGCGGATGCATCACTTGTGTCAAGTTTATCGACGAGTTCTCAGTCGAAGTGAGCGGAGGCAACCGAGCAGCGAAAACTTTTGCCTATGATCAGGTTTTTTCACCCGCGAGCACACAGCAACAGGTCTTTGAGGACACGAAAAACCTGCTTCAGAGCGCCGTAGATGGCTACAATGTGTGTATATTCGCCTACGGACAGACCGGATCGGGGAAGACTTTTACTATGACTGGAAGCGAGAGCGACCCAGGCCTGAGTCCTCGAGCTATTCACCATCTTTTCCAACTAGCAGAAGAGGGTAAAGCCAACTTTACTGTGAGTTTCCAAGCAACGATGCTGGAGCTGTATAATGACTCGCTAATTGATTTGTTCCACCTTGTGGACGGTGGAGGCGCTCATGATAATAAACTGGACATTAAGAAGAACGAGAAGGGAATGGTTGTGGTACAGAATGCCACGTTGAAGAAATGCACGTCCCCAGATCAAACGTTGAGGCTGTTCGAGGCTGCGAACAAGAAACGGCAGGTGGGGGCCACCAAGATGAACGCGGAGAGCAGTCGCAGTCACTCCATCTTCTCGTTGCTAGTGGAGAGCTACAATAAGACCACGAAAGCTACGACGATAGGGAAGCTGAGTCTAGTGGATCTCGCAGGGTCGGAGCGAGCAGGGAAGACTGGCGCCACGGCTGAGCGGCTCAAAGAGGCTCAAGCCATCAACAAGAGTCTGAGCGGTAAGCAGCTTCTAGACGATTTATTGATACTTGGTCGCTCACACATTGCTATTGCGTGTTGAAGCTCTGGGTGACGTGATCTCGGCGTTGTCGACCAACGAAAAGTTCATCCCGTATCGCAATAACAAGGTAAAGGTCGCATCCAAAGCCCCCTATGATCTGTTGGGGTTTGCCGTCTAATGCTTGTTGTGTCACAGCTGACTCAATTGATGCAGGACTCACTCGGTGGCAATGCAAAGACAGTAGGTCCCGTGGTCACAAAAGCGTTGCCGGCTTGATGCTCTAACCGTGTTGTTCGATCTCGCAGCTTATGTTCGTGAATATCTCGCCCGCCGACTACAACCAGGTTCAGTGGGTCCTTTATCTTCCCTTCCCATAGATGTCGCTCACTCTTCATTCGCTCTTCCTGCAGGAAGAGACTGTGACCTCACTCACATACGCGTCTCGCGTTAAGCTCATCACGAACAACGCCAACAAGAACTCCGAGAGCGAACAGGTGAACCGACTCAAGGCCATCATTAAGCAACTCCGCGCGGGCAAGACCGACGTCGACATGGACGGCGTCCTGGACTGAAACCTAGAGCAGCGGATTCAAAAAAAAAAAACACAGCAAGGCAAGGAAAAGCAACGCAGACTGGGTTTGGTGCTCTCAACAACTCGGTGTATCACATTTTATTCCAGTTTAGAATAAAAAGGGAAGTCGGTCTTGTAAATGTTTTGTCAACGTGGGCAGAGTTGAAAAAAACTTTTCGAAGATCCGGGAACCTATTTCCACCCAAAAAGGGTATCCATCGACCAAAAGCGGACCAAATCTGCCACATTCTGCTCCCCTGATTTCATTGGCTGTATTCGTCTCCTCCCGCCACGATTAACGCCCACACGTTGGCCGCTTATCTGTTGGCCTTGGCCACACGCTCGATCTCGTCCTTCTTCTTAATAGCGTAACTGTTGGACGATCCCTTGGAAGCGTTGATCAGCTCGTCGGCCAGGCACTCGGCGATGGTCTTGACGTTGCGGAACGAGGCTTCACGGGCGCCCGTGGCGATCAGGTACAGAGCCTGGTTAACGCGACGGAAGGGCGACACATCCACACCCTGACGACGCACGACACCGGCCGATCCGACGCGGGTTGAGTCCTCACGCGGGCCCGACTTGATGACGGCCTCCACCACCACCTGCAGGGGGTTCTTATCCGTAAGCAGGTGGATGATCTCCAGCGTGTGCTTCACAATGCGCGTGGCCTTGAGCTTCTTGCCAGAGTTGCGGCCCTTGCGCATCAGAGCGTTCACAAGACGCTCCGTGATGGGGCACTGAGCCTTGCGGAAACGCTTCTTCTGGTAGCGCTGAGCCGTGTGCGGCAGGAACGTAGCGGCCTTGCCCTTCACGGCAATGTAGTCTTCCAGAGAGATGTCCGCCGCGACGCTGATGTCATCGTACGACCTATAATAAGTCACCACGCCGGTATTAGACTTCGACTCAAGCGGGATTATTGGATAATTTGAAGCTGTGTATTGCGCGAGTACTGCTGCAGCCACAGCGCGCTTTCGGTTGCTGATTTCTCGCTGTCACGCTGCCATGCTGCGCTAAACTATGCTGTCATGTTCCCTAGTACCTACCACTTGTTAAAGAGCTTCACTTCAGTAGCAACTTCCGCCATGTTGAGAGAGTTTCCGAGGATGAAATCGAGCGCCAAAAGGAGCAAGGCGGCGCACAAATGAATGGGTAGGAGGCTTCTCGATTACGAAAATCAAGTCAAACATACAATGCGCTTGTTTAAACGCACCCTACCCCGCGATGGAACGCGGTTCGTATGACCGGTTCAGAGGTTAATTTATGTGTAGAACGTAAGTTTGCTTTGATATTTACGTATTTCAGTTGCCTTCGCTATTAATACTACTTGACATGTATTAATATCGTTTGGGGACAAATTCGGACGGAATGGAGTATGTGGACAACAATGCGGGAAATGAGCTGCTTGTTTAGTGCGTGTAGCGCCAGAAGGTAAGCGACTCACTTGGAAATACAAATTTGCAAGGCAAAATGCGAGTTGACTTCGATGGACAACGCCAAGTTTCTTTCCACTCCAGCAACCCAAACTTGAACTGTGAATACGGTTTGAAGCCGGCGCTATCACGTTTTTCTTTGCAGCTCGCGAGGGGTGATTACCGTGTGCCTTGGCATGTGATTAGCTGAGTTCTGACACCTGGTAGGGAATCCCTGCTAACTAACATGTATTTATAATTTTGATTTTTTGAAATTTTACAAAGGGTGTCTCTTCAGAATCCTTCAAAAATGTATCTCTGCGACACGCGAATTAATGAAAAACGGTACACTGTGCCACTGCTTCTATTATAAGGTCGGAAGAAGGCAGCGTCTATTCCTCGCATTGTCCAATACTCAGACGTTGTAAAAGATGGGGGGTGGTCCTGCCAGCGCAGACGTCGTGCGCTCGTCCTGCTTCGTGACGTTCCCCGAACAGACCCAAGCGGAGCCTGTGCCCGCTGATGCCTGGTACCTATTTGCGGCCGGATTGACGTTTTTGCGGCGTCTGGCGCGCGACCGCGTGGGCGACGAAATGCGTATTGCGCTACTGTTACAGATGCCCGGGGACGAGGACGGCGAGCGACGCTACGTATCCGTGAGCAACAATACGGTGCTGCAGCGTGCGCTGCAAGAGACATTCGACTGCCCGGATAAGGCGCTGGTACTTCACGTGGTCGACGTGGGGAAGGTGCGAGGCCAGAAGCGAATTCACGTGAGACCCGAGGTGAACCCGAACGTGTCTCCGGAGCCAGTGGAGCCGATGGGACTCGTATTCCCGACATTATCGGTGGACGGATCGGTGACGCCGACTGCTGTGGAGGTCCCAGCAGCGCAAGTGACGAGCGAGAGTCTCTATGAACAGATGAGTCGGTCCATGTTTAACTACCGTAAGGACGACAGCGTGCGGTGGAGTGGAGGAGTGAATTCTGAGAGCTTCAAGAAGCCGAAGAATAGCTTGAGTCGAAGCGCATTCTTCGTGGAAGAGAGAGATTACACCAGGAGAATTCCCAAGAGAGGAGAACAAGCGGAAAATACAGAGGAGAATATTCGCAGAGCAGGTGTTCCACTCGCAGTCGAAGCAGTGAGTGACCTGCTGTCGCCAGCCAAGCAGGTAGAGGTGGAGAACACCAGTGTCGAGCAAGAGACGCAGGGTGAGAGCGATATTCCCGTAGCTACCGTCGTAGAGGCCGACGCCGCGCCGATTCCCAGTGACTACGTGATGCTGGAGCTACAGACTGGGGCTGGACTGCCGGAAGCTCCCGCCAACACCAGCTCGACGTATTTCATCTCTTCGCGGTGGGCAGAACAAGCCGACGAGATGAGCGCGTCGATGCGCTTGGAACGCCCGCCGATGCCAGCACCGCGGGCAACTTCAGCTCGTGCCGCCAGCAGCGTCGACAACAACCACGCGAACACAAACCTTGAGGGCTCGTTTGTGATGCTCGAGCGCCACGAGCTGTAAATGAGCGATGTGCTAGGATAGACAGCCGTTATTTTGCCATTTTGTAGACGAAACTGAGAAATTAAAGTATTTAAACTCTCCAACACTACCGGTAAACGAATTTCACCGATTAGAAGCCCTGCATGCCACCTTCACATAATTTTATCAGAAGCCCGATCTTCTATTTAATTTACCACCGACAGGACTAGATTTCTGTTTTAATTTTTAAGAAATTAACCAAATTCGCCCTCTTTGGTTTTGAAACAGCCCAAATCGAATTGTGAATTCCGACCAAATTTGTCATTAGGGGTGTTTGACCGACCAATCAAATCAAATCTTCGCTTCCCGTTTTTTTTTAACTCAGACCTTCCTTGAAAAAGGGGAAGGTTGCAAACCGTTAGCTATGATTGGTGGGAAACCATGCCAGAAGGTTTGATTTGAATACATGTTGTAGCTTCACTTTTTTGCGCGATTTTGGCCCACAGGAAGGATTGGCTTAATTGGCTGACCAAACATGCTTACTTTCCAACCGTGATAACCCCTATTGCATGAACGCACACTATCGAATGCTTACTAAGGACGCCGTCCATCCACGTCACAGCATCGTCTGTGACGGGGTCACACAGCACCTTGCGCTAGAGGAAGTTGGCTTCCGAGAGCATACAAACTCTCAGTGAACGGCAGTTCGCAGGTCCCCTTTTATCGAAAGGGGGCGTAATGACCAATTAAGGTAGAATGTAAACTGAGTATATTTATAGGAAGATAAAGCTTGGGTTTAATACAAACTATAAGTCACCTATAGAAAAGCAATGTCATCAGCCAATGGTTGGCTTTGGACGACCTTGGTACATTGTACCAAATATCCCGAAGTATGACGTGTCATACTTCATGTAACTAGGGGTACACTTAGGGATACGTACCCGTTACATCCTCCCCCACTTAGGTTCGGTTTACCGACCAATCAGAATGAAGAGGTGTTCGTCACAAACTCTCATTCTCAAAGTCGAAAACCATCGACTTGGCCGCGCGAGCGCTGCGGAGGCTCACTTCACAGTTAGAGCCTCGAGCAGCAACCTGTGCGCTCTTCGTCTAGGTCTCCACTTCGACCGTTAACATGCCTCGTGGCACTACTAAGAGCGGTGCTAAGACACGCCTTAAGGCTACAGCCGGTAAGGCGCAGGCCAAGAGCACTAAGCCTCACGGCAAAGGCTCTGCACTCAAGGAGGCTACTCAGGTGGCCTCCGAGGCGATCGGTTCCTCGGGTGACGCGGCTGCGGACAAGCGCGCAAGCAGGCGCCGCAGTCCGTCGCCCTCGTCTTCAGACAACCGTCTGAACCCTCGGTTCGTAGAACGCGAGTTCAACTCGGGCAGTGAAGACGATGCCGAGTCCGAGAGCACTCAGGATGCTCCTGCGGGCTCTGTGGGAGGGCACAGCCCAGTGCCCAGTGAGCACAAAGAAGGCAGCGTGCAGTCGCCCGCTAGTGATCACGGTGATCACAGTCCCAGGACCTCTGTGCGCTCTGAGAGTCCGGCCGTTAAGGCTAAGGGCGCTCCCAAAGCCGGTGGCGATGAGGAAGAGAATCCTCGCAAACGTCTCTCGCTTGCCGAGGGTCTTGCGCGCGCTAAGGCCTCTAAAGCCGAAGGCGCCAAGCCCTCAAAGAAGCGTACCGCCTCTAAGTCTCCACTCCGCGAGGAGAAGGAGACTCGACGCTCCTATCAGAGTCTCTTCGGCTCCTCGGATGAAGAGGAGGAGAAGGAGGAAGAAGAGGAAGAGGAGGGTGCCATTGTTGAGCCCCGGGAGGTCTCGAATGACCTCGACCAGCAGCAGGAGGATTTCCAAGCTGCCCAGCGTGTGCGTGGGGGTTCGGTGGCGGCACCCGTCAGCCAGGGAGCTGCCATCAACTCAAGAGGGTATTGGCCTCCCGAGGAGAGCTCTGGGGCTGACCTCTCTTAGAGCTTCTCGTCGCTCCTCGTGGCCTTGTGGGCGGCCACACTTCTAGGGGCATCTATGAACAAGCCCTTGTTCAGAAAGAACAGTTGTTCGTCGACAACTTGGAGGCTGCTCGGTGTGTGCTTCTCGCGCAACACCGCATTCCCCTTAAGGACTTCACGACTTGTCGTAAGAAGCCCGAGACCCGGGGTGGTCTCTATCCTGTTTGGGGATACCCCTGGGTTATGCCCGAGAACTGTCCCACGTGGAGTTCTTGTGAGGACATGTTCTGGGCGTGGGTGGAGACTCTCAAGTACTCGCCCACGGAGTTATGGGAACTCCATGAAGATCAGCAGCTGTCCCACATCCTGGACCAGCGTGATCTTCGTGTGAGGTTTGCCCACTTGATCAGCAAGCGTATGCTGCCAAGGGACATCCTGAAGCGCGCGGCTTCTAGCGCTCACGATGAGCGCGGGTACGGTATGTATTCATCGACCGTACCCCGTTCGGGCAAGAAGCCCTGGACTACTTATGAAGCTGCCGCCGCTTCTGTTCCCAGATTGCGACAGCCTTCGGGCAGTCAATCAGGAGCCGTTCAATCGGCTCCCACGAGTTCTCGGAGTAGGCATAACCCCTCCACTTCACGAGGAGCTGTCGCTTACCGCGACGCCGTTGCTCATGGAGGATCCGCTCCACGTGGAAGTGGACTTCTCCATTTCGGTCAAGCAGGGGCGGAGGTGCCCTCGTACGAGTACGAGTACTCGGCGCCTCCCCAACGCCACTCTCGTCTGAGTCCTTCTCCTGCGGGTCCGACACAGGGCCCTGAGGTTGACCGCCTCCGTCAACGTGTCCTCGTGCTTGAGATTGCACTTGGCCTTGGGACTGGCGGTAATGCTGCCGCCCAGGCCGGGAAATCAGGGCGAGCTCGCTCGTCTTACGGGCCGCCTGGACCTGTAGGAGCGTGAGGTCGCGAGCCTGCATCTGCGGGTGGATCGCCGGGCCTCTTCGACCGATCTGGACGAGGCCTTCCGCATGATCCGACGGATCGAGGCTCTGTTGCCACGTCAGGAGCCGCCTTCGACGCACTCCCAGACGTACGCGTATGGTGCGTACCCGGCGTACTCAGCGTACTCGACGTATGGCTCCGGGGTCCGTTCGTACGGAGCCCCTCCTGCGTACGGTCTTGACCGCAGCTTTGCCGTCCAGACCGAGGCCTGGGCGTCTGCTCCGACGCCCTCGTCGACGTCTGTGGTCGACCCTCGCTTCGAGGAGCTGGGTCAAGGTGGGTCTGCGAGTCAGCAACCCCCTGTGGATCAAAGTACCACTTAAGACGTCCAACATAGAACGTCGGGTGCGTCGTCATTGACTTAGGCAGGTCGATGGTGTACGACGCACCATGTCTGGCCAGGACTGCAAATGGTCCGGTGAAGCGGTGCTTCAGCTTGTTGCTGCCGACAGAGCTGACAGTGTCAAGAGGTAGGTTCCTTGTGTCTAGTAACACTAAGTCCCCCACTTTAACACACTTAAGTTTCCTCTTCCATGTTGTCTGAGTACTCCTTTTGTTTATCCTGGGCCGCTGCCATGGCATCGCGGACCCTGCTAACAACGCTCAGCTTGGTATCCATAAAGGATTCCACTTGTTTCGAAACTGGTCTCACATCCGAGACCTGGAAGGAAAGGGCTTTCCGAGCCTCTCCCCCACTTAGAATAGAGGCGTCAGTGTCTCCTCGGAGAGTGAGAGGCACTCTGGGGTGATGGAAGCCGTTCAAGTAGAACGGCGTGAGCCCCGTGGACGCGTGCACCGCGTTGTTGAGCGCAAACTCAACAACTGGAAGCTGCGTCGACCACGTACGTGGTGCTGCCGCGCACACATGTCTTCGAGCACTCGATTGACGCGCTCTGTCTGGCCGTCTGTCTGTGGATGGTCCGCAGTGGACATTTGCAGACCAATTACCAGTAAAGGAAACAGCGTTTTTCCTAAACGCAGCCGGTGAACCGCGGGTCTCGGTCCAAGACAATCGTCTCTGGGAGACCGTGATAGTGGAACACGCCATCGACGAACAACCTTGCGGTTTGTTCGCCCGTAACAGTGACGGGAACTGGAGCAAGATGTACCATCTTGCTCAGCCGACACACAAACATCAAAATTTCGGTGTTGCCGTGTCCGTCGGCGGGAAGCCCAAATATGAAGTCAAGACTCATTGACTTCCAACAGTCAGCCGGTACGGGCAGGCTCTGTAGTGGAGTCGAAGAGTGCCCTGCGGGTTTGACCCGCTGACATGTTTCACATGTCTTCACGTATCGGGCGACCCACTTGTACATGTGGGTCCACCAGAAGGCCTGAGAGACCGACTGAAAGGTCTTCTCGCGGCCCAAGTGGCCGCTGGAGGGTGCGTCGTGCGCCTCCGCGAGGATATCGAGCTTCAGATCCTCGTCGTTGGGTACGACCACCCGTGGAGGTTCATTGGGCTCCACCCGGTAATAGAGGAGGCTATCCTTCAACTCATATCGGTGGAGCCGGGAGTGCTGTCGCGACGAAAGCCAGTCGGACTTCGCGCTTGTTCCTGTCGTGAGGAACTTGACGATAGACGCGATAGCCTCATCATCTCGATACGCTATGCGTATCTGTGGTGTAGTAGAACACACAATACCGTCAGATGTGAATTCCTTACACAAACCACAACGAATCGCCGAGTTAGGTCGGCGGTTGTATGGCCTGCGCAGAGGGTGGTCCCCTCGTGGTTCGGCCCTTCCGGAACAGACGAGTGGCTCGCTTCCACTCGGTTCCGACTAACCAAGTCAGATCACTTCCGAGGCTCCGCCGAGTTTGGTTCGGCTGAGCTCGTTCACAGCCCTGTGCCCTCCACCAAAGGATGGACGACGGTGCGCGAGCGCTTTTACAGGTCACCGAGCGCAGAGGCTGCTCAGCTAGAAGTGTTACGGCACCCGGGCTATCCGACGTACCGGCCCGCTGAGTATGCGGGACTTTCTTTCGCGCGTAGCGAGACTTTGTCCTACCCGGACCGACCTAATCTCTTGGCGCTACCAATCAATACCTTACAAGCTATGTCTCTCGAGTATTGACGGCAGG